TCCCCCACTGCTGCTCATAAGCCCTGCAGGTAACGGGGCTCAGGGAGGATGCTGAGATGCCTGCAAGCCCTGACAGAGACAGGCAGAGGCTGGGACTACAGCCTTTTCTGCAAAAATCATCCTTCCTCTTGACTCCACTGCCTCTCCCTGAGCTGGTCAGTGCCAACACAGGGGGGCCGTTTCCCTGAGCCCTCATCCACACATGCAGTCTCTGGGATGTCTGCAACCTTCAGCACCAAATAGGAGCGTGCTGGGCCTCTATGGCCTCTTGATGTAAGAGGAAAATCTCAATGGTGGGCTGGGAGAGATATCAAGAGCTCTGAAGGCCAGGCTGCTCTCGGAGGAGGTAGAAGAAGCAGGCATTTCCAAGGGGCAGCCTTCATCCTCATCCTTGGCACGCTGACAGCACCATTGCACCCCTTCTTCCTCGCAGGATCATGCCACGGCGGTCACAGGGCGCGATGCCTGCAGCGACACAGCCCCAGGAGAGCCCTGGGACTCGCTCCATATTTTAGCCCCGCAGTGCGAGGTATACGTGTGTGTGGGCCCGGCGGAGGGCGCGGAGCGGTGAGTACCGGCCGGGAGCCCTGCTGCTCCAGCAAGCCCCTTCGGTGGGAAGAACGGAGGAGGGGGAGCGGGAAGCCAAGCAGAGGAAATCAGCTGCCTTTTCCCTGATGCTCTGCACGCTGGTGCCTGGGAAAAAGGACTGAGAAATCCCCATGCCATGCCTTCTGACCATTCCTCTGGGCTGTCCCTGGAGAGGTCAGGGGGCCCCGAAAGAGTCTCCTTCATCCTCATTCCCTCCAGAGCAAGGCTGGTGGTCTCAGGACCACCACTCTGCCAGCCTCTGCCCATCCAGCAGAGAGTGAGTCAGTGTGGCTTGGGCTGCCAGTGCTGTCACTCGCCCCCGAGCTCTGCGGGCTGTGCTGACCCCCAGCTGTCCTCTCTCCCTGCCCCACAGCTGGCACGAGAGCAGGCGATATCCCCCACTCAGCCCCGGAGCTGAGGGTGAGCACAGAGAAACTGGCACCGACCCCAGCGCCTGTGCCGAAGCCAACTCCACGCTTGCCAGGGTGAGATGGGGATCTCTTGTGGTTTGGGTTATTTTGGTCTCCCCAGCTCCCTTGGCCCTTCAATGCCACTTTTGCTGGGCCCATTCAGCAGGTTCCTGGGCTAACAGACATGTTGAATTTGCCCCTCTGGCTCTCCTGCCTCAGGCAGATGGAAGAAGGAGCCCATCATGTGCAGGGAGGTGGATTTGATGATCCTTATGAGTCCCTTAAAACTTGAGATATTCTATGATTCTAAGGTCCTGAGATGCAAGGGGGGATCAGCTGAGACTCTTAGTCCCCACAAAGGAGGCTCTCCCCCTAAAGAGATCATGAGATTTGCTCTTGGATACTCCCATGTGGACTTCTGTATGTTGTTTCTTGCCATCCTTGGTCTGGCATCATCTTATACTCCCACAGCTCCTCTTCTGGTTCCTTCTTACCAGCAGCTTTGGGCTGAACAGGCTGTAAGTTTTCATATGTACTCTTACCTCTTTCCAGCCCACAAAAGCTACTAGTCCCCATTGCAGAGATCTGCCCTGTCTTGTCTCCCAGGAAGGGGAAATGACCCGCTTGTGGGACAACACTTTGGGATCGGGCAAGCGGGACATGATGAGCTACTTGGGCCGTAAGGAGGAGGTGCGGTCACAAGCCCCACAGGCAGACAGACCCAGGTGGGCTCAGCCTGTTCCCTCTGGATCCTGGGTGAGAACTGAAGCCCAGGACTTTAGGAAAGAAATCTGTCCACTGAAAGCAGGTACTCTTGGTTTGCCCCTGTGTGAGATCCTGGTTCTGGTTTGCTTTCCACCCAGGGGTCTCTGAGGTTCAAGGCAGATCTCTGTTTAGATTTAACGTCTCTTTATCTAGTTCTGGCCCCAGGAAGTGTTCAGCACATCCATGGGCACTGTGTGAGAGTCCATCTGTGTGTGTGCTTGACTGTGAACCGCGGGCATCTCGGGTGCTCTCTATCTGCATGGTTTGGCATGCCCTCGGCTCGAAGTGCTGTGTTCCAGTGCTCCCAGCCCCCCTCGAGGGAGTCTGGGTTTTATCTCTGCCCTCCTGGACCATTTCTAGCTCTCCTCCGAAGACCTGCTTTGCCGTGGACGTGGTGGCATCCCGCGTCGCTCGCGCCTCCCCCAGTAACGGCCTTCTCCCCGTCCCAGAGCGCCGTCCTGCCAGCCAGAAGCCTGAGGAGAGCTGGCCAAAGCACCGAAAAACTGACCCTCCCTGGTCATCCACCCTGCCGCGTGCCCCAGCCGGCTCCCCGCCGGCCCGCAGTGACCTGCTGGGCGGCGGTGGGCGCCTCCCTGGCCCACAGGCTCGGGAGTCCCACGGGCACTCCGGCGGAGGGGGTGCAGAGGGGCGGCGCGGGCTGGAGAGGCAGGAGTACACGGTGCTGGCTGACCTGCCCAAGCCCAAGCGCCTCAGCCAGCGGGATGCTGTTGACCGCTATGGCTCCCGGACACTCAGCCCTGGCCGAGTGGAGGTGGAGAGGATATTTGGATGCGAACGCAGGTGAGAAGTAATGGGACTCCACAGTGATCAGAGGCAGGGGATTGCCCTTCTGTGCTGTTGGGGGGCCCCCACCCCTGACTCACCATGCTTCAGGGGGAAGGCAGGGCTAGATGGCAGAGCTCAGCTTTCAGCTGTACTTAAATTTCCCTCAAAGGAAGGGTTGGGTCTAGGCTCAGAGCCTCCTCCATTGTGGCACACAGGCAGCTGACGCTGTTGGAAAGGTGGAGCTAAGCTGCACTGCTAGAAGGGAGCAGCCTACCTTCCTCATCCTCACAGCCTCCTGGAAGCTGCAGGACGTGCTGCAAAGCAGGGCTCCCCACAGTAAAAGGGGAAGGAAAGAGGTGCTCCCCAATCCCAGCATCAGTAGTTCCCCAGGGATTCCACATTCACTGCAGGAGCCACTCAGGGAATGATGGGGGATGCCAAAAAGTACCCAGCGGCTGTTTAGGCTTTAGCTGGAGGAGCAAGGGCGACTCCAGGGCTGGTAGCACAGGGCAGGAGGGGACATAAAGAGGGACTGGGAAAGGATCCTGGGCAAGTGGGTGGGATGTAAAGATGAGGAGGGAAGCTTGAGGAATAGTGTGAAGAAGACATGGGTGAGGCAGCAGGACATAAAAGCTGAGGTGGTTGACGGGGACAGGGAGAGGCTATGGCACACACAGCATCTGGGGCAGGTGGAGATCTGTGGGGTCAGGATAAGGTGGAGCAGGGTTTGCCGGGGCTCTGCGTCCAAGCTGCGCAGGGCGGCAGCTGGACCAACTGTGTGTGCCCACAGGAAATCAGAGACGCTGGAGGCCTTCCAGGCTCTGGAGGAGGGCCGTGTGGACCGGCTCGATGGCAAGACGCCGGTGCCACCCAGCAAAGGCCACCTGACTCGAAGGCGGTCCAGCCCCAACCTGCCCAGGGAGGTGAGGCTTGGCTGCACAGCAGGACCTCATCCCAACCCTGCAAGCCGAGTTGCTTTTTCCTGTCACATTTTCCTCTACTTCTGCCACGTGCTTCTCTCTTTCATTCCTCTTCTCCCTCTTCCCTTTAATCCCAGCTCTCCCTCTGTCATGGATTGGGACCCTTGGCTCTTAAAATTCAGCAGCCCTTTCACCCTTTGGGTGCAGAGAGGCTTCTCTACAGTATGGACTGGCTCCATGCACAGGAATGCTACCGCTCTCTAGGGAACCATTTAACCAAATCACCTGCCAGCCCTAATCCCATCTTGATCTGCTTATTGGCACTTTTTTAAGAGGCCTCCCTGCTCTCTCTCCCCCGTGACCCAGGGTCAGCGACTCTCCTGGCAGCTCGAGCAGCGCGGCAGAGCCCCCAAGGAGCCCCGGCGTTCCCCCAGCCCAGCTCGGCACCCCGAGAAGGCCGGCAGGAGCCGGGGGGACTCCCCACGCCCTGCCAGCCCTGGCTGGCTGCTGGAGAGAGGCAGCCGGAGCCCACGCTCTGCAAGCCCAGCCCGCAGGTCGGAGAGGAGAGCAGGGGAGCCCCTGAACCCTCCCTGTCGCACTGAGAAAAGCTGGAGAAGCCGAGGGGAGCCTGCCCGCCCCCCAAGCTCGGATAGGGGCCGAGCCACCTGGCAAGCAGGGGGTACACGGCAAGCACTGGAGAAGAAAAGCCGAGGGGACTCCCTGCACTCCGCAGGTGCTGGGAAGGGCTCAGATAGCGTCAGGCTGAGCCGGGCAGGGCCATCACCGTGGGCCCTCAGTCCTGGGAGGCGTACAGAGAGCACAAGGAAAAGCCAAAAGGAGATCTCCCCTCCCAGCCTGGTGCGGGGGGCAGAGAGGCAGCGAGGGAAGCCGGGGGAGCCGCTGCACCTTGCAGGGCCCAGGAAGCCACCGGAAGGCAGCTGGCAGAGCCTCCGGGAAAAGCTGACATCCTCCCAACCTGGAAAGGGCACCAGCAGTGACTGCAAAGGCCGAGGCAAGCCCCTGCGCCCCACAAGCCCAACACGACCTCTGGAGCAGGACTGGAGGGGCCGGGGGGATGCCCACCACACACAGGTGCGGGAGAAGGACTGGAAGCGCCAAGAGATGCCCGTGTGCCACACGAATGTGATGCGCCAGCTGGAAAGGGACTGGAAAAGCCCTCCTAGGTGTCTGGATGTGGGACTACGGTCGGATGATAGCTGGATAAGGCCTGAGAGTCCAGCACAGCATCTGGAGGAGGACTGGAAGGGTCCTGAGCACACACGAGATACACACAACCCTGAGAAGCCATTGGAAACTGACTGGGGGAACAAGAGTCTTCTCATTTACCATGTGAGTAGGGCAGAAGCCAGAGGTGATGGGGACCCTGCAAGGCCTAAAACTGGCAAGCACAGATTGGGTGGGTCCCCTGGGTTGCAAATCTGTGCACCCTGATTCCCTCGGATCCTCTGCTTCTCCAGGGAAACTGTACTGCCTGCCTGGCACTGGGAGGAGGGAAGATGTTTTCTTCCCTGGCCCACGCCAGGAGATGGATGCTTGGATCTGGGACACTGAGGTGAGGACTAAACCCCAATGGCTTCAGCTCCTGCTTTCTCCCCTGCAGCCCCAGCTGGGTGGAAGCACCTTCCCACAGCAAAGCAGCACTGGCTCCTCAGGAAGCCCACAGCCACATTTGAATGCCAGTAAGAAGCACAACAAGGTAGGGGCCAGGCCCTGGGAATTGTGAGGAAGGGCAGCTGCCCTTCTCTGGGGGTCACTGTGGGCAGGACCTAGCTCTTCAGCACTTGACCTGAGTAGGTCCAGGATGGTGCTGCCTTCCCACGATGTCCTGAACGCTGTGCTCACTTACACTCCCCTTCCTTTGTCCTTCACCCGTTTCTCAGGTGGGGAAACTGAGGCACAGAGCCTTTTGATAAAGCCAGACAAGGGCAAACAGTGGACCTGGGACTAAAATCCCAGTACAGCTGCTTTCCTTTGCTTTATTATTGGCCAGTGCTGTGACGGCACAGAGGGTTTTACAGAGATGAAGTGAGCTTTAGTGGTGTGAAAGAAGATACAGTTTATTGTGTTGGTATTCCTGCAAAATGACATTGCAGCAGCTATGGAGGGCTGCAGAAAGTGTTCCAGGAGCCCATGTAGCTGGCAGCTGCACACGAGTTCCTGCCTCTGTCCCCCTCTGTGCACATCACTCATCTCAGCCAGGTCATCCTCTGCTAGGACCTGGCTTTGTTCTTTATGCAAGGACAAACTGCAGCCAGGAAAGAGGCTGTCAAAGGCCTCTGAAACTCGAAACGGGTGACGTCCTTTCCCTCACTTCCCTGCATCAGGCCAGAGAGGAGCCCAAAGCCCTGAACTCACCCTGTACAACTGGGCCACATCTCCCCAGCTGTGCCAGGTTTCCTCAGCACTGAGCTCTGGCACCTTTCCTTTGCCTTGCAGCAAGAAGCATCACCTGAGTGTGATTGCACAGTAGAGCCTGGCATTTTGTGATGTACAGTCCCTCTCCCCTTTTCCTTTGGGACCCTCTCTAGCAGTTCCCTTTCCTGAGTGAGGCCGGCTGGCGTGGCTTTCCAGGGGCACCGGGACTCTCCCCATGGCCTCCTACCATCCCATGCCACGAGCCCAGAGAGGTTCAGTTGGTCGGATAAAACCGGGGAGCCCCAGGAGCCAAGGCGAGCGCTCCATTGTGTGCACTGCTGAAAAATCCCAGCCTGAGAGCAAACCCTGCCCGGGTAACAGCTGGGCTCCTGGCAGTCCCTTCCCGGGGAAGGGCTGAACCCGTCCCTCCCAGGGCTTCACCTTTCCCGGGACAGCGGGGCGGGAAGAGGACACGGCTCAGCCCCAGCATCGCCCCCGTCCCGTCCCGTCCCGTCCCCAGCGCCCGGGGCCGCCGCCCCT